CCTGTCATTTAACTGACGGAAGGACCATTTTGGTACCAAAAATGAAAGTTCAAGGATAATTTTGGTACTTTTTAAAGGTGAGGGACAATTTTGGTACCAAAGTGTAAAGTTGAGGGACCAAAATGGTACTTAAACCAAAATATTAAGTTGAGAGACCAAAATTAACATTCCACCTATTTCGCAATTTTTCCCCTCTGAACGTGAGTGAAATTAGTAGTGAAAGTCAATGATGATTTTTTATTTCTCTTTATTAAATGTATAATGGACAGGTTCACTTGACCTATGAGTCAAGTGGCGTTAACCATATTTAAAGGTTTATTTTTTCTTCTCCAAAAAACAACGATTCTATTAATCCCATGGTAAAAATGTTCAAAAAATATATATATATATATATATATAATGAACAGCTATTGTATCAAATTGATTGGAGCAATATTGCTTAATTTTATAACAATGATTATTATATATTTTGATTTAATATATTATATAATAAATTTATTAAAAAATTATTACTTTATATTTAAAATAAAAATTAAAAAAATACAACTATCTATAATATAAAATTAATCAAATTAACTATATTTATATTATATTTAAATAATTAAACTAAGATAAACATCAAAAAAATACATTGCATCGATTGCATTCAATCATTTTCCTTGGTTTAAGTGTCTTTCAATAAAGAGCATGGGATTCATGTGCCTGCAATTGTTAGTGTTGTCCTTTTCCATCATTACCCTAATACCCTTGATTGAAATAGAAATTGTGGTTCATGCCATTTGACACCCCTTTGAAGTAGAAACGGAATCTTGCTTCAAAATCCCGCTCGGTCACTCCCAACAGCTAATAGAAATATGGATTACATATCAACTATTCAAGTAGTTTAATAATAATTTTTTATAATAAAAAATAAAAAATTTTAAATTTAAATTTTAAGTATATAAGTAAAATCAATAAAAAGATAAAAAAAACATCTTTTTTTTATACAATCCAAAAAAAATAAAATAAAATGTACGACATAGCACAAGAATTTGACCATATAACACTTAAAAGGAGCTGGCAACAGCTGGCATATTGTAAAAATAAGCAATCATATAGTGGCAAAATATCCAAATCCATCCTCAAAGTATAGTGGTAGGGACGGATCCACCATCGAACAAAAAACAGGGATAAATTCACCCACAAAATTTTTTATTTTGACAAACCACTCTAAATTTAACGTGTGATATCATTTAACATCAGTAATATGTTAATTTGACGTCATTTGACGTCAACAATCTGTTAACGAATTAATGAATTGTTGATGTCAAATGACGTCACACGTTAAATTTGGGGTGATTTGTTCAAGTCGAAAACTTTGTGGGTGAATTTGTCTCCGTTTTTTGTTCGATGGTGGATCCGCCCCTGTCACTATACTTTAGGGGTGGATTTGGGTATTCTGCCTCATATAGTTGTGTAGGTACTTTCGGTCAAAACCTATCTTTAGTCTTTTTTTTTTAACAAATTTATAGGTTTTAGCTCCTCAACTTATATTCAGATACTTTTAATATTTCATTCTTACAAATTAAAGAAAATAACCTTCCATCTTTATGAATTAAAGAAAATAACTCTTATTTAATATTAGTTTATAACGTTTGTTAGCTAACTGTTAACATTCTATTGGCTCTGTTCCTGTCACCGTTAACAATTTGTCAATGTTAACAGTTAGCTGATGAACATTATAACTTCACGTTAAATAAGGACTATTTTTTTTAATTTTTCTAGATGAGGGGTTAAAAGTCTTATAGTATAAGTTAAAGGGCAAAAATTTACAAATTTATAAAGGTAAGGTTAAATTCCCTTTTTGGTCCCTCTACTATAGGAAAAAACCTGTTTTTAGTCCTTATACCGAAAAAATTCACTTTTTGGTCCTTACTGTTTAAAATCCGACCCTTTTTTAATCTTTTCGTTAAATTTTTACTAATGTGACAGATTAACTAATAGAATCATTTGATTATTTTTTATATAAATGATATTATAAATTACGTGAAAATTACATGGATGTCACTTGTACAATAAAAAATTTTTATTTTTGATTCGAATTAAATGAATTTAAATAGCATTAATTTTAATTTCTTAATCATCTTTTTTCTCCTCATCCTCGGCTTCATACTCATCCTCACCAACTACTGGACTCCTTGTGGGTTTCGCAAACCTAGGTTTTGGGTTCCTCACGGAACACCCTTGCTGGGTTCTGAGAGGAACCTAGTTGCTGGGTTCGTGAAACCCAAATCTAGGTTCCTCATGGAACTTAATTCAAGACAAATAAACTTAAAAATATAGTCATGACTATATCATGCATAAATTGACTAAATCAACTACACTTATATTATATTTTAATAAATAAATCAAGTAATTATCAAAAAAGTTTGAACCAAGAGTATATTAGTCATTTTCCTCGTCCGTATGATATGCCACTATGTTACTCCAATATATGTACCCATAATCTAATTCTTGCCAGGTTGTGCAGGGTCCATTTCATCATCTACCTAACCCAATATCCTCATAAACAGAACCCCATTTGCCCTTATTTACAGATGTACCCCATCTCTCAACCCCTCACGTGTTCTCCAAAGATTGCCAGAAAACACGTCTTTCAAGCGACTCAAGTGATTTGGTCTATATGTAACACCTGTGCCACTTCTGAAACCTTCCCCTTGTCGCGA